CCTAATCAGCCCCCTCCAAAAAAAAGTCATGCAAGGGACATTGAGGGCAGCAGGTCAAGGTCAGCACAGAGTGGTTTCTTCCTCTAGCTCATTCCTCCTCACCTTTCCTGTGCTCCAGCACAGGAACCCACAGGCTGCAGCCCTTCAGGAAAACCTCCTGCAGTGTGGTCCCTCGTGGGCTGTGCTTTCATCAGGAATATCCATTTTCCCTGGAGTGGTTCCCCATGGGATGCTGTGTGAATGTCTGCCATGGCATGGTCCCATCCACAGCTGCAGGGAACATCTGCCCTGCTCTGAGTCCTCCTTGGGCTGCAGGGACAATCTACTGCCCCATGGAGCCCCTCCTGCTCCACCTTGCTGCTCCTCTTCCACTTCTCACTGTGCTCTTTCCTTCCTCCCATCTGGCATTTCCTCCCCTTTCTGAAATGTTTCCACAGAGGCACCATCAGCTTCACTAGTGGCTCAGCCTTGGCCACGGAGCTGACTGGGACCAGCCCCCTGAGGGGGCTCTGCTGGCTGGGACCCCCCCACTGCACACCTCACCCCCCCAAATCCTTCCTGTGAAAGCCTATGTGGGATGGCTGCACCCCCAAATTCGGCCAGGGAAATGGGATGGGAGAGGAGCTCAAGGAGAAGGAGGAGTTTCTGGAAGCAGGAGAGTTGTGGGGGCCCAGCAGGTGCTGCAGGAGGGAAGGGGCTCTGTGTGGGGGAATTTCTCACACTGCTGATTTCCAAAGTCTCTGCATCAGTCACCTTAGTGCCAAAGGTTGTTTCTGGGCAGGGATGGAAAAATAATTCACCTGGAGGGAGCCTGATGGGCATTGTGGCTCTCTGCTGCAGGACAAGCTGTGTGAAACACCTGAGAATGCAGCTTTCCTTGGCTGCCAGTGGAGACAGATCTAGCCAGATCGGGCAGCTCAGGAACTGGGCAGATCTTTGTGTTGATCTGCAGCTGAGTGGGGGGAGAGGCATGAACAGCCCCCAGCCAGCTGTTTGTTTTGGTCATTCCCCATCCCACTGACTCCTGCTCAGAGCTGTTCCACAGATTGACCTTTGCAGCCCTTTGGTGTTATGAAACACAAAATCCTTTGGCTGCAGTGCCTGCCTGATGTTCCCTTCTGGCTGTGGCTCCCTGGGTCACAGGGATGCCCTGGGAGCAGGAGGGAGAGGCTGCCCTGGAAACAACAACATCTTCTTATGCCCTTTCTGAGGTTTCTCTAAGCTGGGACCCAGTGAAAAACCATTTAGTGGAGGCCACTCTCAGGTCCCCCAAGGATGGGTTGAGAAATATCTGTTGTTTGACTTAATAAGAAAGTTTTAAATCAGAATAGGTCACTTAGAGCTAAAACATTGTGTGGTTTAGCTGCTTGCTTAGCTTTCCTTTCTTGGTCTGAGTAGCTGGATTTGCAGAAGCCTCAAGTCACAAGCTCTGAACTCTCACCCAGATGTGCTTTTGGGTGGAATGGAGTTCATTTTCTCAGTAATTTTCCCTGTAGCTGGTACAGAGCTGTGTCTTGAATGCAGTAGGAGGATAATGCTGATAACACACTGCTGTTTGAGCTGTTGCTGGGCAATGCTTTCCCTAAATCAGGAAGGGTTTGGGCTCCCGATCTCTGCTGGCTCAGCGAGTCTCAGGAAGCACAGAGCAGGAGATAAGGAGGCTCCAGCCACCAGTGGAAGCTGCAACTCCACGAGATAAGAGAAGTCAATGGCCTCTGTGTGTGGAGACAGCAAGAGTCCAGTAAGGTGTTAGAGGACCCCAGACCAAAAATTATCATTGGAGGCATGAAGAGCATGTGCACAAACTGTGAGGGTAGAAAAGCCCAGGGATCTCTTTTTTCAGGGTCCCTGTGCAGAGATACC